CTGGCCTGCCGCCCCCAGCCCGCTCCGGCCTCCGGCCTCCGGGCGATTCTCTTCGGAGCTGCCGCAGGGGAGGGGGCTTGAGGGGGTCCCGCTGTGCGGGGGGTGCAGAAGGTGATCCCGGCGTGGGGCAGCGCGGGGGACCCGGCACGGCTCCCCAGCTGTCCTGGCGTCCGGGGGCTGCGGGGAAAGAAGCCCACCCGGGACAGGGCTGGGAAGGATTGCTGAGGGGAAAGGGCTGCCGCCTGCCGCGGCGCCGAGTAAACAGGAATATAGAAAAGCACGACTGTCCAGAACTAGGTACAGGCAATGTAGGAATATTTTTCAAATTCAAGTAAGATATGTATACATACACACACAGACAGACATGCACATTAAACAGGAAGCTTAGCCTGGCTGGTTTCAGAAATTAAATTTACAGGTTACAGGCAGGCTGGCTGGGCTTCTTATGGTTGGTTGTAGAAAGCCTGTTTGCCGTCAGACTGCATCAGGTAAGGAGAGGCTGGGTCCCTCCCGAGGGGACCGCGGTGGTGATGTGTTTCCCACTCAACGTGCAGCACAGCCCTGATCTGGAGGTCAGCTGGGGATGAGGGGATGAGTCCAACAGCTTCTGTGTGCAAACGGTTATCACAGGTTCACACCCTTCCCTATGAAATTCCCACATACACACTTGGGCTCCAGCGCTGCTCCCTGCTGCGCTGTCTCCCGCTGCCTTCATAAACAGCTTCCCTGCAAAAATTTGGTGGCATTAATTGCCCCTGGCCTTTACAAAGGTGCGGCTTCCTACTGAAAGGATTCTTGGAAACTGGAAATCACTAAACTAGCTGAAGATCCAGTTCTTGCCAGCTCCAGATAAAATCTTTATTATCAAATTAAGCATAGGATCTGTTTGTTTTGCTTCAGCTCTAATTCTCTTTTCATTTAGCAGGGTGTTATGCATCGAATTGCACTTAAAATTGTGAGCATACTTGTTAGCGTGCATGCGTTCCTTATGTGACTCACATGCGACACACAGAAATCAAATGACTCCTAAAAAATATTTGTTATTCTGACACATAGGGAATTATCAGGCAAGTTGGAGAAGACAGAGCGTTAGCACCAGTGGCGTAAAATGGATGAGGGACTGGCTAGGCAGAAGACAAGACATTGGAGTGAAAGGTAAATTGTTGTGATTTAAATTTTAGTAGACTTTCTGAATAAGAAGTGAGATTATTTTATTTGATAGTAATGAAGTGGGGACAAAAGTACAAGTTGGTTAAAGAAAAATGCAAATGGCCCAGGTTGGAAGTGTGGGGTTGTCATACAGAAAAGTTCAGTACCCCTGAACATTGTGTAAACTACAGTGGGTGAAATTTAGTAGCAGAAAGTGCAACATGGTGGTCTTGAATCATGGTCTTGGCTGTACGTTTTTTCTGATCTGAAGTGGAAGTGAAAGAGAAGGAGGAAGAGTGGGATTCGTTGGTGATAAAATGTCAATAAGCATTACCAGGCAGGAACTGCTCACAAAAAAACCAGGCACAAACTAATGGCATGTCACTGGAGCTGGAGAGACCCTGGTATGACCTCCTCTGAAACAGGTCTGTCATGCTCATAGAGTTGAATTAGGATGAATTGGAACAGGTGCAGGGGACACAAGGGAACTAAAGAGCCTCTTTTACAAGAGAGGACTGTAAAAGCTTAGTGTGCTTTGCATAGTGAACAAATGGTAAAAGGGGAAGTGACAGCTGTCTGTATACACACATTGTAAGAGAGGTAAACACCAAGAAATGAGAAGAGTTATTGAAGCTAAAGAGCAATGTTAGCCAAGGAACAATTACATATACGTGTGCCATGAACAATTTGAGGCAAGATAACAGATGAAGGTTTGGAACCGCCCAAGGTATTCCAGTAACTTTGCAATATTAAAAGTGGAGACATGAACAAGATACACAGGAGCTATGTATTTATACCCTATAGAACACATACTATTTCCCACCTCTTCCTCAATTTTCACTTCCATTTCCCATCATCTTCTCACTGCCATGACCCACAGACAAATCTCCAGATCCAGAGCATCTCCCAATGACTCAGTACACTTGCCAGACTTCCAGATGGAGCTATACTGCAAACATTACCATAGCCTATCTGTAGGAGCCCAGGACTATGCACCTCTATTTCCAGTCCAACATTTTCTCACATGGAACCCAGCTCTCTTCACTTTTTTTCAGTTTCTCAGTTTATTTTTATAAAAACAGCTTTAATTTGCTCCTGAAAACCAAACTAGTGTTAAGTCAGGGAAACCATAATGTGAAAATGTCTCTGGGAAGAGGAGAGGAAAAGAAATAAGAAATGGAGTTCTGGTGTCTCCTCTACTCATACATTGAAGTTGATCAGTTGGTCTCACCTGCCACATACAATGCTTCCCCACTCTCCCCATTTTTCCAATATATGGAAATATTTCCAATATGCCCTGCACCCACCAAAATAACTTTTTTGCCCAGCCAAGGCAAAGGAGAAGGATGGGAAGAAGACAAAGTCCTGGGCGATCTAGTCTAATCTAATCTAATCTAATCTAATCTAATCTAATCTAATCTTTTAAGTTCACTCTGCTTTAAACAGGGGCTGTTGTAGATGAGCTCCTTCCAGAATGATTTTTTTTTTAAATTTATGAATATATCACAGAATCATTAAAACTCCCCCAAATCAAATTTGAAGGCTTACCACAATTTCACATCCACGTCAGGACAGGAATCATGCCGGTGACTTATCAACCACAAGGCAGGTAGTTTATAAGCCTGGTAGGACATAAACCAGTTTTGTGCATAAAGGCATCACTTATGTGTGCCAAATCCTGGAAGACTCCCACATGGAGGAGAGGCATCAGTACCAACAAGATCTGCAATGGAGGGAGTATGGAAACTAGCAAACATCATGGGTAAGCAAAGACAGGGATTAGAGTATTTTGAAAAAAGAGTAGTGAATGATACAGACTAAGCTGGAACTCAGCATGGACAATTTTAACGTGTTTATTACCTTAGCTACCAAGATTGTTTTCAGTATCAGTGCTAATTCATTTAAAGCTAGTCTCCTTTAACACTGCTCCCACTATCTGTAATTGCACTCAGAGAAACAATTAATATGGACCCACCCACAATAGATGTTTACTTTCATTGTTTTAGAGCCACTAGTAATTTCTAAGAACAAGCTATAGCCTCACCCAGTTTTCTTAATAAATAGTCACATGTAATATAAAGCACTGTATCTTTTACACCTACTTAAATGGATAAGTTTGAGATTGTACTTTACTGCCTGGGTAGGAAGACTCAGTAGACACTGAAGTTTCTGTTCTGAGCTCTTAAGACACATACAGCATTTTTCCAGAGTCACTGTTTGTGCTGAACTCCTTGGCATTTAGACTACCTAAAAGGGTCTGTGGAAGGAAGTAAGAAGCAATCTAAGAAAAAGTTTTAACCTTAGACACTTTAACTTAGACCTTTAAATCAAATAAGTAAGTAACTTCTGAGGAAAAAAAAACATGTCCTGTGTGTATCTGCTTTCACTGAGCTCCTTTTGGAGGGTCCTTTGGGACTTGAGGGTCATCAAGATTACCAAATGAGACAGGAGACTTCCTCCTGTCTTCTTCCTCTCTGATCGTCTTCCTTTTTCCAGACAGTGTTCTTACCCTTTTCCTCTGGATTTCCCTCAGGATTTCCCTCCTTTCCCCCAGCCTGAGTACACTGGGTCCCTCAACACCTCTCTCCAGGTGAAATACTCACTCACTTCCTTCTCTGAAAAGCCCCGTGTAGAATCCCTTAAAAACACTGGCCTTACCAGCGGGAGATCTTCTCTTCCAGTAAAAGAAAGCCTTTAAAAGTCTTTGCTGGGCTTTTCATTACTGAACATGGCCTAAGTTCCCTGCGTGTTACAGACAAAAGAAGTGTTTTAAATAAATATACAGGTGGCACAGAAGACAACAGTCAAAATTAGATTTGGTCTAAAGTGGAAGTTGAAATAAAAAAGCTTTCACAGGGCAAAGTCATATTCACCATTGGACAACAACATATCCCAATCTGCCACAAACCACATCACGATATACTCAGCTATGTTTCCAATTCGGAGACTACTGGATTCAATGAAATACATTTTCAGGCAATATGTCAATAAATGCTTTTAAAGTACAGATAAGTTACAGAAGAAAAATAAGCAAATATATTGTATATATTAACATGTTTTCTATGTAATCTCTAAGGCACTTGAACAAATGTTTTCCCCACAAATACTGATGTTTCTATGAGCAAAATGCTCAGATATGTGTCTTCCCTGAGAAATTCTGATTAGTGATTCAGGTTTTTTATTCCTATAGCACAGGTTTTCTCTATATGCATTGCTAAGACTAACATTACTTGTAAGTTTTAAAGAGGATGCTTTTTAATTTGACAATAAAAGATAATTCCGTTGGATCCCAGCGAGGCTCCTCCTTTTTTCTGAAAATGTGTATTATCCACATGCATATTTATAGGCTGTATTACATGGTAGAGTTATTATTGTTGGTATTTGCTCTTTATATAACAGTAGCAGTCAGA